GGGGGCGGGGGCGGGTAATTGGATGGGAGCAACACTTACGGAAGAGGCGGTCTTGGAGTCGTGCGGGTTCGAGGGGCGCGAGAAGGAGACCGAGTAGGCGGCGAGCGCGCGCATCTTCTTGAGGTTGGCGTCGGTGTAGGGCGGGTAGCGCGACGACATGACGGCCTCGATGATCTTGCCGAGGATGCCGGTGGAGGGAGCGTCGAGCGAGGCGCGCTGGTGGCTGAACTGGTCGAACGACGCCTTGCCGTGGTAGTTGCCGTAGCCCGACGGGCCGGTGCCGCCAAAGGGCAGCGCGTCGACGGCAAAGTGGAGCAGCGTGTCGCCCTGCACGCACGCGCCCGAGCGCGTGTTGTCAAAGAAGAACTGCTTGACCTTACTGTCGCCGGCGAAGAGGTAGAGCGCCAGCGGCTGGTCGCGTGAGTTGATAAAGTCCACCGCCGCCCTCACGTCGCGCACGGGCACGATGGGCAGCAGCGGCCCAAAGATCTCGCCCGACATCACCGCGTCGTCCACCTTGACGTCGGCGATCACCGTCGGCGCCAGGAACTTGTCCGCCTCGTCGCCCTCGCCGCCCAGCACCACCTTGCCCTTGGTGCCGGAGAGCATGGCGTTGAGCCGCTTCCAGTGGCCGGTGTTGATGATGCGCGCGTAGCTCTCCGACGCGTTGACGCCGCCCTTGAGCTGCGGGTAGAAGCGCTCGTAGGCCCTCTTGAGCTCGGCGACGAAGCGGTCCTGGAGCTCGTGCGGGATGAGGACGTAGTCGGGCGCGATGCACGTCTGGCCGCAGTTGAACGACTTGCCCCACAGGATGCGGTGGGCGGCGATGGCCAGGTCGGCGCTCTTGTCGACGTAGACGGGCGACTTGCCGCCGAGCTCGAGCGTGGTGGGGCAGAGCCACTTGGCGGCCTTTTCGGCGATGATGCGGCCGACGGTGCCGTTGCCGGTGTAGAAGATGTGTTCGAAGCGCTGGTCGAGCACCGCCGTGGTCTCGGGGATGCCGCCGTTGACGATGCGGAAGCATTCCGGGTCGAGGTACTTGTTCCACAGCTCGGCGAGCAGCTTGGCCGTGTGGCCGGCCACCTCGGAGGGCTTGAGGAGCACCGTGTTGCCGGCGGCGATGGCGCCGATCACGGGGCCCACCTGGACGGTGATGGGGTAGTTCCACGCGCCGAGGACGAGCACGGTGCCCTTGGGCTCGGAGCGGACCGTGGCGCCGTGGGCAGCCCAGGCGAGGCCGGCCCAGGGCTTGGCGGGCTTGGCCCACTTGTCGAGCTTGTTGACGGTCTCGACAATCTCGTTGGTGGTGCCCATGAGCTCGGCAAAGACGCTCTCGAAGCGCGAACGGCCGAGATCCTTCTGGAGCGACTGGATAAAGTCGTCCTGGTGGTCCTTGAACATGTAGGCGAGCTGCTTGAGCTGGTTCTTGCGGTACTCGATCGAGCGCGTCTTGCCGGTCAAGAAGGCGGCGCGCAGGTCCGAGACGATGCCGGGGATGGCGTCGATGGGTGTGTACTGGAGGCCGGCCTCGGCGGCGGCGGTGGTTGCGGCGGCCATGATCGTGGGGTGTGTGTATGTGTGTGTTTGGGGGGATGTGGTGGTGGTGGTGGTGGTGGTGGTGG